TGCCCCGAAGCAGACTTAACGCGACAACCTTTTCCATCTCACCACAATCCAAGCGCACCAGCTTACGCACCACTCGAGAAAGTGTACAGTGACATCTTGTACAACCGCGAGCCTGGACAGAACACCTACAACTACACGATTACCTTCATCGACGCCGCGACCAGATACGTCTGGCACCTCAACCTACCCAGCCGCGACATGGCCTTCGAAGCGTTCGTCGCGTGGCTTCCTGCAGCAGAAAGAGAATCGGGCGTAAAACTGAAAAGTTTTCAGTCCGACGGGGGAGGCGAACATACCTCACAGAGGTTCAAGGACTACTTGGCAAAGAAGGAAATCAAGCGGCTCATCTCCCTTCCCTACGCCCATCAACAGCAAGGTGTAGCAGAAAGGATGAACAGGACACTTCAAGCCACCATGCGCAAGCTGCTACGTGGCATGCATCTGCCCAACCACCAGTGGCCCGAAGCAATGGACCACGCCGTCATGCTGCACAACTTGCTCTCGTCATCATCGCTCCCGAACAACGCATCACCGCACCTGCTGTGGACAGGAAAATTGGGCAGCACAAAAATGTTACGAGTTTTTGGGTGCATGGTACAGTACCGACCACCATCTGCACGCGCCGGCCGTTTCTCCCAACGAGCACAGTGGGGACTACACCTGGGCATCGAAAAACACCACAACGCATGGAAAATCTTCGACATCAACAGCAAGGAAACAGTCGCAGCACGTGATGTCATCTTCTACGAACACCTCACCCTCGACGTTCATCTCGCGTACGTCAGAGCCAACAGACCTGACCTCACGGGCGGATTCACTGGCACCCGAGCCTTCGCCTCGGCAGAAGACGAAGCTGACTGGGACGAGCAGAACGTGGACCGAGCCTCGGAAGAAGCCGGACCTCTTCCCTACTGCCCAGTGGACGTACCAATGGACGACGACAACCCTCGCGAAAGCATCAACGCCGAAGTTTACTACCATTTCGCAGACGACGGTTACGTTACACCCGCTGAAGTCAACACCAACGAAGCAGAACGCGTAGGACCCAACTTCGCACCTGATCCAGAAGCTGGAGACGAAGCAGTCTATCCCGAGGACACCACACTCCCCCGCTACACACAGAGTGGACTCCAAATCCTAGGACTCATCACCGCGGTCCACGGCGCCGACATTCCTAAGGAGCCTGCGACAGTTCAGCAGGCTCTGGGGGGGGAGCACAGGGAAAAATGGCGCGAAGCCATGGACAGAGAGCTGAAGGCGTTAGAAGAACGCAACACCTGGAAGGTCGTTCCTATCGGCGTAGCACGAAACAAGACCATTCTTACCGGGAAATGGGTCTTCCGTGTGAAGACGAAAGCAGACGGCACCATCGACAAGTTCAAGGCACGCTGGGTCGTGCGCGGCTTCGACCAGGAGCACGGACGTGACTTCACCGAAACCTTCGCTCCGGTCAGCCGCCACACTTCACTGCGAATTCTCCTCGCGATCGCCGCCATGAAGAAGAAGAAGCTGCGACAAATCGACGTCGCAAATGCTTTTCTCTACGCACCTGTTGACGCAGAGATTTTTGTGGAGCTACCACACGGCTCCAACACAGACTCCACGCATGTCTGCCAGCTGCTAAAATCACTCTACGGGATCAAACAGGCCCCGCGACTATGGCAACAGTACCTACACGCTCGCCTCATCCGCATCGGCTTCAAGCAACTCCCGCACGACCAAGGCATGTATCGACTCACTAAGAACAACGACTACGTCCTACTAATCGTCTACGTGGACGATCTCCTCTACATCGGGTCAAATGACGGCATCACTACCTGGTTCGAAGGGGAGCTGCAGATGCGAAGATCTTACGCTCACAGTCTCGGCTACCGTCACTAAGTACATCGGCCTCAACATTCGAGAAGAAGAAGACGCGATCTACCTCAGCGCCGAGAAGTACGCCGACACCATCGCCAAACGCTTCGGTCTCACGCCGGCCGCGATCTCAACGCCATACCGCTACACGACAAGAGCCGACAAGGGAAGATCCACTTTACTCAAGCCCGCCGGCATACGCTAGAATGCCTCCTCTTCGCTGCCGTCACCTGCCGTCCCGACCTCTCATACTCCGCAAGTCAGCTCGCCACCTACCTCAAGAAACCTGAAGCAGAACATCTGGCGGAGCTCGACCGCGCTCTTCACTACTTCATCAGCACCCCGACGATCGGCCTAACCTACCACAAGAACGCGACTATGCCAACCAAGCTAATCGGCTACGTCGACGCCGATCACGCTGGCGACTCCGACAACAGGCGCTCACTACATCTACCGGCTCGAACCTATCGGTCCTATCTCCTGGCAATCGAGCAAGCAGGAGTTAATCGCGTTATCATCAGCTGAAGCAGAATATATCGCACTCTGCTCAGCCACCAAAGAAGGCCTTTATCTTCGCGAGCTACTGGAAGAAGCAAAGTTGGCTGAGTTACCCAGCTTCACCCTGTTCTGCGACAATCAATCAGCAATTCGCATCGCCAACAAAAACGGCTTCGCGAACAGGGCAAAACGCATCGCCCTGCGCTACTTCTTCGTGAAAGACGAGATCGAGAAGGGGAGACTTCAGCTGTCATACTGCCCCACGTCCGAGATGGCAGCCGACTATTTGACCAAGAAGCTCGGAAAGCAGAAGTTCGAATACTGCATGCTGCTGACTGGACAGAGCCACGTCACCAGCAGCGACACTCCAGAAGCGAAGGGGAGTGTTGGAAACAATGAATCATAAGCGCCTCTGTCGTGTCGAAACACCGCACCAGAAGCGAGGCGAATCATACCGAAGCACCCGCGAGTCAACCCTCGGAGGTTGAAAGGTTGCTGGAGGTTACGCGAAAGTCAAAGGTCAAGCAACCTTTGACCTGACAAGTACAGCGCGACAGTTAAGGACACACAACTGACTCGCTACAGAGCAGTTGCCCGAGTCGTACTGTATCGAACCGCAACAGCAACAGTAAAAGGAAGTTACAACCGTATCTCTTCATATTCCTTGTATTATTATATATTCTTGTATCCCTTTGCTATAATCAATCTACTTTGCCCTCACATACCAGCGCAAGGTGGTTCACAATCCTTCATTAAGCTTCCGCTATTACAACATCATCCTACCCAGAGTTCTCTCCTAAAAAGATCCTAAGGGGCTATCTCAGCCCAACAGGTTTCACTTCACCTGGCTGAGCAAAAACATTGGTGGGGGAGGGGTGGGGACAAAACTAGCACACACACCCCCCAGCCTCCTTCCTCCCCTCTCCCCCTCTCCCCCCTCCACCCCTTCTCCCCTTCCCACGAGTCAAGGCGTCCCCCCACATTCACCAGGCCCTCAGATTCAATTTGAGGCACGTTAGGGTATCAGGGTCCCTCTGCCCCTAGACCCTGATCGTCAGGGTCGCCTAGAAAAAAAGCCTGAAAGTTCAGTGTTACTTAAAAAAAAAGTCTGATGCATCAGTGTCCCCTACAGAAAAAGGCTGAATCCCTCGTTGCGCTGCCTGCCAGCACCGCTGTGCTGCAACCTTGTAATCGGTCAAATCAGGAAATGCTGTCGAAGTGGCCAATCATCGCACCAGGCGCGCCAACAAAGCATCCCTCACCAAGGGAAAATTTGTCTGGTACTCACCGCCACGCCCTGCTGACACCGCGGGAATCTGATATTCCCTGTACTGCCGGGCAACTACACTCGGACCGTGTAGGAATCGCTTTCAGGGTCGGATTCGTTACAACGTAGTGGAATCAGTGTCACTTTAAAAAAATTGCTGAAAGTTCAGAGTCATGTGGCAGGTAAAGGCTTAAAAATCAGCCCCACAAAAAGCTGAACACTGGAAAATCAGTGTAGGGTAAAAAAAAACCCTGAAAATCAGGAATTTCAGGGAAAAATTCCTGATATCGTAGGGCCTGACATTCACCCTAACACTTCAGGGCAAAATTTCACTACCATTCTGAAATCACAGGGCAGAACACATGAATCATCCTGACGTTCCAGGGTAAAATTCAGTGCCATTCTGAAGTTCCAGGGAAAACTTGAAACACCATCCTGAAATCAGGGTAATCAGGATGTTTTGCCCTGATATCGTGGGCCCTGGTAGTGGGTTAGCCAATGTAGGGTACAACCCCTTAGGGTTTTCACTTGCACCAACCCTAGCGATAGTTTCACCCATTCCTAGCTACCTACTCTAACATGGTATCAGAGCAGTTAGGTTCTTAGGACCTAATTTCAAGAGGGCCCACCGTTAAATCCTGTTTTTTAGCTCCTTTCCCTGCCTGTCGAGCTGCCCCACCCGTCGCGCCGCCCTGCTGGCCGCGCGACGCCCGTTTTTTTTCCTCGTCGCGCCGCCCTAGGGCCGTCGCGCAGCCCTCGGGAGCAAGTCGCAAAGGAATGCAACTGAATGTCGAGACCAGGAAAGAAAGGCAGTACAAACATGAAAACCTACCGTAACTGAGTTGTACTCACTAAGGAGCACCTCACTTCAGCCTAGACCAAATAATCATATTGGACAGTAATCGCGTGCCTTGTATCCTCAGTTCATAGTGTCACAGCTTCGTTATTTGTTTTCCGCGCAAATTGGAAGATAGCCCAATTGGAACCAACCTACAGTACCACCTCTCACACCTCTGCTTTTGCCTTATCTCCCTTTCTCTACCCCCTCCTCACCTTCTCCGCCCCTCTCCTCCCCTCCTCCCTTATCTCCCTCACCCTCCTCACTCTACGGAATCTCATCATGTTGATGGACAAGGCACATCTCTCATCTCGTCACAAAAGGGGCGTGATTGCAGGCCAGCTGACGGGCACATTAATCGTGAGTTGGAACTTTGTGTATTCACTACCAGGCTCAAATGCTGTGGATTCTCATTGGAAATACGCTAGGGGTGTGGGGAAAGGAATAAATCGACAAAAGTACGCAGCTGTGCAAAAGAACCATTTAAGGGAGCAAAATTCTTGGAATAATAACGCAAAACACATTTCGGGTGTAAAAAGCCTACAGATCGCTCGCGCGCTTCGAAGTGAACTTCACAGCGGCGGGATCTACGTTCTGGCCAATGGAGCGAAGGTTTTGGTTGGCACCAACACGACCAGCGTTCACCTTCTCAGGGTACACACCATCCTTAGGGTGCAGGTACTGCACCTCGCCGCTGGGAAACACCCTGTAGAACTGGTAGTTAATCTTGAACTTGGTCCTCAGTTGCGTACCAAGGGCCAGGCATTGCTCCTTTCTGGCCAGCTTCAGCGAGTTCTCACCGGCTCTCATGGTAGCAGCGCCACCAGTAGGCATCTCGAACACCTGCTCCTTGTTGGACTCCCACGTGATCACGTAGAACTCCTCATCCTGGGCCTTCCTGAGGAGGCCGCCAGTGCTGCCGCCAAAGATCGGGGACGGTACGTCGCCCTTCAGCTCTGGGGGGGTGAAGCCAGTGGGAGCCTCAGCGGACATGGTGAGGCGGGAGATGGCCGAGGAGGCGACCCGGAGGGGCTGGCCGGAGACGAAGCTGCTGCCATTGCGCTGCTGGGTCTTGGCAGACAGAGCAGCGGGAACGCGCAGAGCGGAGGTCGATGCAATGGCTGCCATGGTGGCTAGGGCACTGCGATCGTAACAGGAAGTTCGGGAAGTGAGCAGATCTGTGTCGCCCGAACCGAAGCACGAAAAGATTTGTGATTCCTATACCCCTCTTGGCCATTGCTGTTTTCAAAACTCCAACGTTTTGTGAGATCGCAAACAAATTCGCAATCGACTCCTCACCAATCGCGATATACACACGTGGAATTTCTGCCCTGCTGGATTGGCACTCGCGAAGACTCTTTCAACGAAATACGAGTGATTCGTCCCTCCTGCCAGAGGGCGTAGGTGTCCGCGACAACAACAAGTCAACTGAACAAAATAATGTTTCAGTTGTTACGAAATATCTTAAAAATCGAGTTTAATATTTGTCTCCTCGTAGGGACATCCAGTGGTAACAATGTCTATCTAGATATCTTTTGGGTTCAAGCACCAGAATTTTTATCATCATACAATCATTCCAACATATAGAGCATTGAGTCGTCAAAAATTCTTCCTGCAACATATGCTGTATTGAACGTGTAGCTACTGGTAATTGTTAGAAACTGAATTGCATGTTCATTGATGTGGGTTGGGGTACATATTCCTAACCCTAACACTTGTATCCCATAAGACAAGCCTCACTACATAATACAACATTTGACACACCCAAATAGCTTAAGTGAGAGGTGTCAAGCAAAAATCAAAAGAGTACCGTCACAAGACCAATCACAAAGAAGCAAAGCTCATGGTGGATCACAATGACACCACAAGCACAAGCAGAATGGCCACAAGGCCAGTTCAAGAGTTTACAGGTGTACAAGCAACGTTTACACAAGACGAGAACCAGTGTCAACGAGATCTAACTGCACACAATACCTGTGGTGGTCACAAGGCGGAAGCGCCTTGGTGAAGATGTCTGCAGTGTTGGCCTCGGACTCCATAAGTCCAAGCGAGCCTGTCCACACCTCTGCAGCTCTCGTAGAAGAAAGTACATGACGTTGATATGCTTCACTCTGCTCTCCAGTCGAGGCTCCCAACAGAGAAGAATCGCTGCCTTGTTGTCAGTGAACAAGGTCGGTGCAGAGCTCGGCCACTCACCAAGGTCGGTGAGCAAGAACCAAGCCCATGCCAGATGTCGTCGCTAGGTACTTCGCCACCCTCACAGCAGCGGTCCAGTGAACAGGACGGTGTCTCCCTGGCGCAACAAAATGAGCAAGGATGCTGAGAGGGTAGGCGAGGTCCGGGCGAGTACAAGTCATCAGGTACATGAGGCAGCCCACAAGCTCTGAGTAGGGACCACTAGGCTTAAACGGTTTGTCAGGAACGGGACCAGTAAGTCTGTGGTCAACGGCAAGAGGTGTGCGCTGTACTATGGAGTGCTGAAGCTCGAACTACTGAAGGACTTGCTGTACCATGTGTGAATGTGACAGTGTAATGGTGCAAGCGGCTCTGTCCCTGGTGATCTGCAGGCCAAGGTAGTGGCGCAGCTCACCAAGGTCAGTGCGCTGTCTATGGGTTGGCTCTTTTGTAGTTCGCGCTTCATGTCAGCCAAAGCAACCCTGTCAGCAGTGGCGAAAACCAGGTTGTCTACGTAGACCAGTACAAAGAACGGTGAGGAGCTACGACAAACAAGCAGCGATGGGTCGGCAGAAGACGGCTGGAAACCGAGGTCAGACAGGGTAGAACGAAGGGTGTCGTGCCACTCACGAGGAGCCTAACGGAGTCTGTAGACCGGTCGACTCAGCCTCCACTGGGTCCCAGGAGGGAAAGTGCCAGTGAAGGCAGAGGGACGATGCAACCAGACCTCCTCATGTAGGCTACCCTGAAGGAAGGCAGTGGAGAAGTCGAGAGAGTGTAGCTCGTAGTCTTGTAACAAGAGAGGCGAGAACACGAGAGAGAACATGTTGGTATGTGCGGTAGTAGTCAGTGACAGGAGTAGAGAGAGTAGCAGTAAGGGCCGACTCACAAGAAGAAGGAAAGCACAGACGGTGACGAACGAGGCGGACTAGGACGAAACAGGACAGTATGAAGGTCAGTGACAGGGACAGGGGACGAGGGACGTGCACGAGGAGAGCGACGAGAGGCCCAAGTGTGAGAAAGAGGAGGGGACAGACCACTGAGGTTGAGAACGAGGGAAAACAGCTGGGGAGGGGTCAGGAGGAGGAAGCGGGAGACCAGAGACGGTAGGAGAGGGGGAGGAGGGAGGAGAGGGAGAGGGGAGACCGAGGGTCTAAAAACCAGAGACAGGAGGAGGAGGTGGTCGCTGCTGCTGCTCCTGCTGCGGCTGCGACCGCTGCTCCTCCAGCTGCGGCTACTGCTACTGCTCCTGCTGCTGCGGATGCCGCTGCGGCTGCTCCTGCTGCAGCTGCTCCTCCAGCTGCGGCTGTTGCTGGTGCTCCTCCAGCCATTGTAGCTCCAACAGCTGCCGCTCCAACTCTTGCTCCTCTCGCTCCAACTCCAGCTGCTCCTTATGGGCACAGCGGACACGGGCCTGGTGCCGGGTCGGGTAGGGGTGGGGAGGAGGAGTAGTGTCCGGGGCGGTGGTAGCCCTAGGGCCGCTCTCGAAAGCACCTGTCGCACCACCCCCAGATCCAGCTCCACCAGCAACAACGCGGCCAGACCCTGACTCTCCTGGTCTAGCGGGGGGCGCACCCGCACCCCCGATCGGGGCACCCTCAGGGACAGCTCGACCAGCACTAGCTCCCGTAAGACTAGAAACCTCTGCAGGCACGGGCTCAGCTCCAACTCCAGCACCCCCAGCACTAGGCCCCCATGCCAACACACTCTCAACACCAACTCCAGCACCTCTAGGGGCAGTACCTCAAAGGTTCGCGTGACCAACACCAATGCACGCAGAGTCCGTAGTAGCCTAGGGATGAAGTGCGGATGGCTGCTGCGGAGTATGGGAGGAGGACTGCAGGGAAGGGGACGAGACCTGAGGGGGTGCCGAGGGGGGAGTAGCGTGTGACACACCTGACGGGGAGGGACCAGGGGGGGGAGGCTGTACCTGAGGAGCCTGAGGGGGAGCAGGAGCTCGGAAGAGGGGGGGAGGAGGAACCGGGAGATTGCGACAAGGGTACCAGGTGTAGTAGCGGACCAACTCGTCAAAACGGACGTCACGGGAGTCAAAGAACCGGTGAAGAGGGGGGGGTGGTAAAAGGTGAAGTCAGAGGAAACCTCGGGGAGACCAAGGAAGGTACAGGGAATGGCGGAGGCGAGATCTTGTCCGCACTAGTATCGCGTACACGCGCCAAGCAGCCCCAGACACGAAAACGCGACGCAGCACCAGGGGACCCGGTCCAAAGACTGGTCGGTGAAGCCCCTGGCCAGGAGACACGTGGGCAGAGGTTCAGCTGATGAGCGGTGTACCGAACTGCGTAGGGCCACAGAAGATGGGGCGCATGGGCGTGAATCATGGAGGTGCGTGCGATATTCATGACCAAGCCTATGCAGCGATCAGCAACCCCATTCTGCTGTGGAGACTCTAGAAGCGTCCAGGACTGACACGAGTCCTGCTCGCGACAGAATTTGGCGAGAATGCCGAAGCGAAACTCACCCCTACGGTCGGATTGAAGACAACGGACACGACCCACGAGTGTCGTCAGTGGCGAGTAATCATTTGATCAGCGTAGAAGTCACGTCAGACTTCTTCGCCAGAGGAAACACGGTGGTGTAGCGGGAGTAGTCGTCAACGACCACCAGAAAGAAACTCTCTCGCTCAGGGCCAGGGCACGAGGCGTGGCCCCAAATGTCCCTCAGCGCTCGCCTTGTCATTGGGAGGTTGTCTCGGTCTTTCAGAAGAAGAAAGTAGCGGCTCCTATCATTTGCAGCAACGCGAAAGGTTCCGCAAGTATCGATGTGCACAACATCCAATGCGTTTTTGGGTTCAGAACCTTGGTCGGGGAAGGTATGACGAACTAGCTTTCCGCCAACACAAGAAACGCCAGGCAATGACGTGATCTCCAAACTAGCCGCCGCGCCATGAGCAGCTGTACGTTTTATCGTATCAATGCACACGTGTGCAAGTCTTGCATGCCAAATATCCGCCGACGACCTCATAGACGATGTGATATTTCACAGCGCGACCGTCCCCGTCGGTGGCGGCGCCTGCTGCTGCGATGAACACGGGCGGAGGTCTGTGCAAAGGACATAGTCAGTATAGGGCGCTCGCCCGAGAACAGCTCCCTCAGCCGATACAAGAAGCGTCTCGTTGCCGGTGTCCTGAAACTTCACACCACTGTCCTTCAACTATCCGGCTGACAGCAAATTTGTCTGTACACCAGGCACATACAGCACATCTCGGATAGGAACCTTTGTGCCCGCTGCCCCTTAAAGAGCAATTGTGCCGCGCCCCTGTATGGACTGAATGGAGACGTTGAATTTATGCGCATGGTGAATGTCGCCTTCCACATTCATCTCCATGCCCCATGAGGTGATGAAAACAGCCACTGTCGAGAAGAACCATGGTCTGATTCACTTGCACCGCTTTAGCAACCGCTTGGAAGTTCTTGCCAGCTTCCGGAGCCAAGGAGATGGTCATTTTTGTAGATGCGTCCATCACCACGCCGACCATCGAATGCGACGGTACCCTTCATGGTACACGTCGTCATTAGCGGCGTCCTTTGCGCCCATTCCGCGGGAGTTTCCAGCATCCGAAGTCTGCTTGTTCTTGGAGTCAGTATGCTGTTTGTCCTTGTGGTATGCGGTTTCGCGACGAGGTAGACGATTTTGCAATCGTCCACAAAAAGATGCCTGACCATCGCCATCCTCCTTGTTGACGCGGTCGGGGCACTGGTTCGCGAAGTGCTCGGGATCTCCACAAACGAAGCAGTACCGTTGGGAGTTGCGCTTTCCGGCACAGGAACGCTCGTCGCTCTTAGTCGTCTTCGCGCGGT